TGCCAGAATAATCCTTCTCATAAATAGATTTGGTCTTGTCACTTCTCACACATCTTGAAAAGCTTCCTATTACCTACTAAGTTAAGATAAAATTCCTTACCCTCCCATTCAAGACCCATTTGAATATAATGCCACATTTCCTCTTCAGCTGGTTTAATTTTTTTTCTTTTCCCCCAGTTATATGAAATGACGATTTTTAACATTCATTAAAAAAAATTTAGGTTCCAAATTTTCTCTCTCTCACCTCCCCTCTCCCTGAGACAGTAAGCAATTTGATATATGTTATAGATGTTCAATCATGCACCATATTATCATATTAGTCATGTTGTGAAAGAAGACACAGACCCAAAGGGAAACTCACACACACACACAAAGTGAAAAATAGTATGCTTTGATCTGCATTCAGACTCCATCAGTTCTTTCTCTGGAGGTGGATAGCATTTTTCATCATGAGTCCTTTAGAATTGTCTTGAATTAATGTATTTCCAGGAATAGCTAAGTAATTCACAGTTGATCATTGTATAGTATTGCTGTTGCTGTGTATAATGTTCTTGGTTCTGCTCACTTCACTTTGCATCAGTTCATCCAAGTCTTTCGAAGTTTTTCTGAAATCAGCCTGCTCATCATTTCTTCTAACACAGTAACATTCCATTACAATCATACATCACAATTTGTTCAACCATTCCCCAATTGATAGGGGGTATCCCCTCAATTTCTTCAGCTATGTTTTATATTATACAATTAATCAACCTTTATTAAGTGCTGACTTTATGCCAGGCACTGTACTAAGAACTGGGGATAAAAAGGAGGAAAAAGACTGTTCCTGCCCTCAATGACCCTACAATCTAATGGAGGAGACAACATGCAAATGTATATATACAAAGCAAGCTATATACATGATAAATTGGAAATAATTAATATAGGAAAGGATGGAATTAAGTGGGGTTATGGAAGGCTTCCTGTAGAAGGTGGGATTATAGTTGGGACTTAAAAGGAAGCCAGAGAGGTCCATAGTGGGAGAAGAGGAGTGAGAGGTTTCAGGCAGGGGGGCAACCAGAGAGAATCCTTGGAATCAAGAGACAACTATCTTGTTCATGGAACCACAAGGAATCACTCAATTGAGGAGTATGTGTAGGTAAGTAAGGTATAAGAATATTGGGAAGGTAGAACGTGGCTATGTTGTTAAGAGTTTTGAATGTAATAAAGCATTTGCATTTGACTGTGGAAGCAATAGGGAGCCACTGGAGATTATTGAGTGGAGGAGGGACATAATTAGATTTGTTCTTTAAGACAATCACTTTAGTGGCTGAACTGCCCATGGTTCAATTCATGCTCCAGGCAAATGGGACTTCTCTCTGAATAGGTGGTACCACTCTCAGGTTTCTGTGCTTTTGCTCATATTTTCTATGTCTGAATTATCCTCCCTTTTCTTTTTTACCTTTTGAATTCTTCCCCATCTAACTCAAAATTTACATTCCCTGATCTCTGACATCTCTTTGTGCCTGTACTGAACTAATAAATGTTGATTGACTGACCATGTTACTGGTACATTGCATTTTATTTTGCAACTCTATAATGCAATTGGCATGTAATGTTAAAAATGGTAACTATTAGTATTGAGGTCTTATTCCCCTACTAGATTGCAAGATCCATGAAGGAAGGAGTCCTTTCTTATCATTTGTATCTTCCTTAGCATCTAGTACAATTTTTTGCATCTTGTGTATACTGAATTTTTTGTTACATTTCTACCTATGTTCCTGCTTCTCTCTTAGGTTTATTTTTTCTTTTTCATTTTTCAATTTTTTATTTTCATTTAGTATTATGAAAATATTTGGGGAAAAAAGTATGGTTTTTGGTCTATGACACCTACTTTAATAACTCTTAATATTCATATAGTGCTTATGTGTCAGGCACTGTATTAAGTGTATCATATAATCTTCACACCAACCTTGTGAGGTTGGTGCTATTATTATTCCCATTTTATAAATGGAGAAACTGAGGCAGAGAAAGACCTTGCCCAGGATCAAACAGCTAGGAAGTGTCTGAAGCTGGATTTGAACTGGGGTCTTCCTGATTTCAAGACAGCACTCTATTCTCCTAGCCACCTAGCTGCCCCTCAAAGGCTAAAAGATTCTGTTTCTAATATATTGTTAGCAGTGGGCAAATAATAATGATAGCATTTATATACAGCTTTAAGATTTATAAAGCACTTTGCATTTATTATCTTACTTGATCCTCATAAGAACTCTGTGAGGTAGGTCCTATTATTATACAAATTTTTCAAATGAGAAAACAGATTGAGAGAAATTAATTGACTTGGGGGTACAGCTCGGTGGCACAGTGGATAGAGCACAAGGAGTCAGGAAGACTTGAGTTCAAATTCTGCCTCAGATACTTACTAGCTATGTAACCCTGGGCAAATCATTTAACCCTATTTGTCTCAGTTCCTCATCTGTAAAATGAGCTGAAGAAGAAAATGGCAAACCACTCCAGTATCTCTGCCAAGAAAACTCCAAATGAAGAATCTGACATGCCTGAACAACAATAACAAGAAAATGACAAGAGTCACACAGCTAGTAAGTTCCTGAGTGGGATTTGAACTTGGGTCTTAAATGCAGCACTCTATCCACTGTATTACTTAGCTATATGTTCATTCAATATTGTCACCATTTATTCTTTACACATCTCTGTTAGTATCCGCTAGCAATTTAATTTGAAGTTTCTTTATTGGTCCTAACCCCGCCCCCCAACCCTTTACTCAGTTAAAGAAATCCTATTCAATGCCTTATTTTGGCATATAGTTGAGTTTGGATTTTTGAAATCTATGCCAGTGAAGTGGAAGCTCTGACAGGGTCAGTGATCTCCAGAGGGACTCTCAGCCCAGAGCTAGCTTTCACAAAATTGGAGAGGCTAGTGGGAGTGAGGGCTGGGTTGAACATGGGGGCTGGAAAGCAAATGGTGGCTTTGTTGTTGTTACAGAAACTTATGAAGACTAAGGCATAAAGTAGAGCAATCCTCATGGTTGTTTGGAGTCCCTTAGTATGATCTTTTATAATACTGAAATATTGCTCTTTTTTATTCTTGTAATTTTAAAAGCAAATTTCTTTCTTTCTTTTTTTTTTTTGGCTAGGCAATGTGGTTAAGTGACTTGCCCAGGGACGCACCACTAGTAACTCTTATGTGTCTGAGGTCGGATTTGAACTCAGGGCCTCCTGAATCCAGGGCCAGTGCTCTATCCACTGCGCCACCTAGCAGCCCGTAAAAGTAAATTTCATTTGTGCTTTTTTTTTTTAAACGATCATCAATCATTCAGTATTCATCTGAAATTCTTAAGTGAGCTGTGGTGGTGATGAACACTGTGTAAAAGGTTTCAAAAGAGCAACCTGAGAGTTAAATAAAGCAATTCCAAACAATGGGTCCATTCCAACTCTATTTCTATGATCACATGAAATGTACATAGCACATGCATTCTTTTATCTCTGTCTATTTTGACCAATAATAGCTAAGATTCATGTAGCAATTTCTATGTGCCTTTTACAATTATTAGATCATTTGATCCTCACAACAACCCTGGGAGGTAGGTGCTGTTATAATCTATTTTACAGATGAGGATACTGAGGCAAACAGAGGTTAAGTGACATGTCCAGGATCACACAGCTAGTGAATGTCTGAGGCTGGATTTGAACTGGGATCTTCCTGACCCCAACCCAGTGCTATAATCTTTTCTTTTTTAAAAGTACAAATATTCTTAGCGCTTTGAGAACACTTACGGGACAAAGTATTTACACCTGTGCAATTTTCAACACAGAAGTGGATTTCAGTTGTGATGTTAAGAAATATATGATAAATATGTTATCTTAGAAAAAATCTTGTTTCTATCTTAGAGAAGTGAAGACTGGGGAGAAGAAACAGAGAAATTTCTTTCCTTAACGAAAAGGGGGAAAATCTCTAGTAACTAGAGGCCAAGTTGCTGGAGGGGCGGGTCTCATATTTTAAAATAATCTGAATAAATAAGATCCTGTTTCGATGATCCCTTCACCGCACACATGCCTAGACCAAAGCACCAAAAAGCTTAATTCCCCCGTAGAGGGGCAGGGAGCTTCCTCCTAACATCAAGCCTGAGTTGGGGCAAACGAAGCACGTCGGTAAGCTCTGGGCAGTCCGGGAGGGCGCAGGGGAGGGGAGGGGAGCTCCCCGGTTGCAGCCTGGATGATTGACTGAGCGTGCGGTCAGGTGACTCAGTCGCGCCACGTTCCCAGCCCTGGAGCCCCAGCAGCCGCAGGCGGCCGGGACTGCAGCGGAGACTTAAGCCGGGGACCTCGGAGGGACTGAGGCTGAGCTTTGGGAACAAAGTTCAGAGGCGGGCGGAGGAGCTAGAGCAAAGCGGAGGGGTGGCACTTGCGCTGACCAGCGGACTGGGCACTGCTGCCCTTATTCGTTACTCTTTCACGCTAACCGTCTGAGGTGGTTGCCCAGACCGCAGCCTCAGCTGCCCAGCGGGGGCAGAGGGACTTCTCGTCCTGCTGCCTCACCCCTTTTCAGTCCACTCCAACGAAGGGGGAAACCTAGGGGAGAGGAGGAAAAGCAGGAGGAGCCGGGAAGAACTGGGTCGGCTTTTGTACACAAAGTTCTGGAGTCCGCCTTTCCTAGGAGGAAGGGGGCAGCTGCAGCCTCTGGAGAAGCTTCATTCCACTAAAAAGGAGGAGCGACTAACAAGCAATCGGTAGCCGATTGGGGGAATTGCAAGGAGAGGTTCCCTCATCCACCCCCCACCCCTTTTTTGGTCTTTTCTGCAGAAGGAAAACAGTTTAGTATTTGGCAAACTTGGTGCGTGAGCGTCTGTTCCAGGTTTGCTATTGGATTTTTTAAAAAAATATTTTTGGCGGAACTAGAGAGCAGGCAGATTGCATAAGTCCGGGGCGTTGTTTTCTTTTTTCTTTTTTTTTTCTTTTTCTTTCCTTTTTTTTTGTCTTAGGGCTTATTTATTTTGTTTCTCAATCTTAAAAAAAAAGGAAGAAAAAAAGGAAATAAATCCTGCATAAATCCAGCATAAACTTGGAATTGGTCCGGAACCCGGTCGGGGAGAGAAGTGGGTCGGAGGGGCACGGGAGCAGGTAAGCAGTTGCATTATTGATGGCCCCGGGACAGTAATGTGACTACCGCACCTGAGCTGGGAAAAGGGGGGGTTAGGTAGAAGGCTGGGCTCATTGGCTGCCAGGCAGGGCTTTTGCGCTCACTATTGCCCTCCTGGGTTACCCAACCAGGATCCCAAGTTTTGTGCACTCAACTTCAAGTTGAGACTGCTTGAATCAGGCGGGGAGAGAGGACGGGAGGTCGTCGGAGATGTGGGAAAGGGCAGAGAAGGGAGGGACCCTTAAAATACCTCCTTGCTAATGGGACAGCTTCAGTGTTCTCTCCTCCCATCATCCCTTTTTTGCGCTTTCAGCCAGACAGATGTGAGTCAGTGCCCAAGGAGCCTTAAGGTGCCTGGAAGCTGAATTAGTTTTCTGTTCTCTGGGCGGAGGGTGGGAGGATTTCGGGTCAGGGAAGAGACCACCAACAAGCTGCTGGGTCATTTTGACCTGCAGGTGCGTAGCGCGACCCCTGGGGCCTATGAGGGCTGGGACTTGGGAGGACCAGTGAGTGAGAGAGTGAGGAAGCGGTGAGAGAGAGAGAGGGAGGGAGGGAGCTGAGGTTGCCAAGGAAGAAGGAAAAGGAGGAGGAGGAGGGCGTTTCAGCCCGGTGCTGAACAGAGGTCTGTAGAGCTGTAACAGATCTAGAGGGTGGGGCGTTGGAGAGAGTATTATTATTTTGGCCTTGAGCCACTGGTAACTCCTTCGTTAGGCGATCGGGACGGGGTTGGCCCTTTACGTGGGCGAGGAATTCCGGATTTGTGCGCTAATGACGCTCTGGTGTAAGTATCACCATCCTTTGAAACTTGTCGGGTAACTGACTATGTTATGGTTTCATTTGTGCGTGCGTGTGTGTGTGTGTGTGTGTGTATTTTTATTTTTATGTGTGTATACAAACCCCTAGCTGCGTGTGTGTGTGTGTGTGTGTGTGTGTGTGTACATGTGTACACAAAACCCCAGCAGGACATTTAGGGATACTTTCCCAGTGCTTAACCCAGTGCTTGGCACATAATAGATGCTTATTAACAGATAGCCTGGCATCTCTTTTTGCAGTCCTTTAGAAGTGATTATTCCAGCTATTTTCTAAACCTGAACTTTACATTAAACCCACAGCGCACAGGCTAATTCCTCTCCCTCTCCACCAAGTAACTTTACAGCCTTCCCTCTAATAGAAGCTCCAGCTAAAAGGGATTCTTTTTTCCACCTTGCAGGTGGCTCTCGGAGGTGAAATCCTCGAGCTTTTATTTGTTTTGGCGATTCTGCCCCTTATCTTCATTGGTGAAAGGAGGGGAGGAAGGGAGAAAAAGGGTACCAACACAATCACAAGACTTCGAAAGGCTCTTCCGTAAAAAATGGTACTGGGTTGCTTTGGGTTCTAGAAGAGAATCACTCGGAGTTGACGGGTCCCAGGAAGCCTCGGCTTCTTCCTCTGCCTTCCCAGGCAGTCGGACTGCCTGTAGGCACAACTCCTTTGTAACTTGCACTGGCTGGGAGGAAGTTCTCCTGGCCCCTCCCAGTTGGTTTCTGTTTGGTGGGCGCGGAAAGAAAAGGAACCAAAACATTGGGGACTTAGGCCAGACTGGAGGTTAGAGCTGGAGCTTGGCAAAACCTGCCTGTACCGAGGTTTCCTAGTACCGGGTAGACTAGAGCTGAACTTTAAGTGGAGCGGTCCTCTCTCCCCCTCTCCCCCTTTCCCCCTCCCATTTAGGAGCCTTTTATGTGGCTGATGAGACAGTTTTAATTGTCCCGGAGTGTTTACATAAAAGTTATTGCCTGAGTTGTTAGAGCAATAATGACTAGTATAAACTTTCCCTAGAGGCTGCACTGTGTGCATGTAATTTTCTTGGTTACGAGTGGACATTTAGGAGTTTCCTAAGCTTTTTTAAAAATTGGAAGTATAATCCTCCCCACTTCACCCTTCCTCTTTCAGTATCTCTATTAATTTAAGGTAGTGGTCTTCACTGGGAATGAATTGACTTTTTCTCAGGGGCTACAGTGTATTCTCATTTGTTTATACTAATTTATCTATTCCTAGGTAACTGCAATTTATTCCTAGAGGAATTTCATATGAAATATTTCTTCTTTCCCCTCCCCCACCCCCATCGTTTTTTGCTTCCCTCTTTTTTCTGTTAGTCCTTGACACACAATGCATTGACACTAAATACAGAGAATTTAGAACTGTACTTTGGGGTCAGCATGACTTGGTACCTAGAGTGCTGGATTTGGAGGCAGAAAGACCTGGATTTAAATCCCCCTTTTGATTCTAGCTTTGTGACTATGGATGGTCAGACCATTTAACCTCTTAAGTTTCAGGTTACTATTTGTTCAGTGAGAAGGTTGTACTAGATGAGGTCAGGTTCCTTCTAGTTCTAAATAGCTCTGAATTTAGGGTCTCTGTGATCTGAGATAATCTAAGGCAACCCTGTCATTTTATAATTGATAATGTTAGGTGAGGACTAAGGTGAGGAAATTAAGAAGTATCAGAGTTAGTATTCAGACTGGAGAGCTCTGACTCCAAATCCAGTTTATGGAAGAAAGGGTGAAGTAAAGATCCAGTTGAGTAGATTCATGATAGTGAAACCTTTGCTAGGTCAAATTCAAAGACCAAAAATGTCAGAATGGAACCTAAAGATGGTAATTTTGGTAATATGTACTTAACTCCTGCAAGGTGTGGTAGGTCAAGCTGGGCTTGGAGTCAGGAGACCTGCCTGGGTTCCAGTCTTTAACCTTTCTGAGCTCTGGGACTTTTTGGGGGAGAAATGATCTCCCAGAGCCTCATTTTCCTCATCTAGAAAAAAGAGTTAATAATATTTAGTAATACTTAATTTTGACCATCTTACAGAGGTGTTGTGAGGAAAGCATTTTGGAGGCCTTAAAATCATATTATATGTAGACATGTGCATTTGTCTCTCTCTCTCTCTCTCACACACACACACACACACACATACACACAATCTGGAACATCTTGCTCAATAGAGCTATTACTCCAATCACTATTCCCCACCTTCCCTCTCAAAAAAAAACAAAAACAAAAACAAAATCCCCAAACAACAACAACAACAAAAAACCCCTCCTCTCTATCCACCACTCCCTTTATATGTTGTCCTTCCCACCCCCATTAGTATGTAAACTTCTTGAAAGCAGGGATTATTTTACTTGTATTTATATTCCTGGTTGAGCCCTGTGTCTAGTTAGTGACTAGCCTTTAATAAATTTTTTTTTTCACCTATTAATTTTGTCTCTTACAGTGCATAATATCCCTTGTGGGAAGACCTTGTGGGTTTTTCTTTCCATGATATAGACTTAAGAATTTCTATTAAGTACAACTGTATTGCACTGTTTTAAAAAAAAGGGGGGGGAGAGGAGGTCTCTCCATGTAACAAAATCGCACTTAAACATGCAGTAAACTTTTTGAGATCACTCTTCGTAGAAAAAATAATTTTCTGATAAAAGAGTACAAAATGTTAACAGTAACGGTTGCCATATTGAAAATAAGTTACAAAGTTGAAACTCTAGAGAACTCTACCAGTAGGAACACTTTTGTCTCTGCTGTTTTCTGGACAGGTAGTAATGTAAAAAGCCAGTCTCAAACTACTTTATATCTAAGGAATTTTTTAAACCACTTTTTGTAATTTTCTATCACTGGAGCTTATAGTTCTCTTTCTAGACATCTTCACCTAGTGACATATGTCCAGTTAATCACATTATCAAACATAGTGGGAGATAAGCAAAGGGCTAAAATATCTAGTCTTTGCTCACCAGTGGTGAAAAGTCTTGATGTCTGGGTTCTCATCTAAAGTCCAGCAAAAGCAAATTATAAATCATTTGTGAATTGACAATTATATTTTCAAACTAATGGTTGGTTAATTTAACTAAAAGTTGGTGTCTTCTTTCAGGGTATTGTTGAACCTAGAAAAAAAAACACCAATGCTCTTTGGGTGCTGGCATGGCATGCCCCAAGCCCATTATAATACATTAGGGTAAGCCAGGCACTGCAATTATTTACAGGTCGTAGATGTAAAGGCTAGTGGATGAACAATAAAACCGTGACTTCTGCAGATTCTAGAAATGCTTTTCTTTTTTCTTTTCTTTTCTTTTCTTTTTTTTTTAGTTTCCATTCAGTACACATCTTTATTTTTTATTTTTTTATTAATTTATTTTGATTTACCAGCAATTACTTCCATAAGCTTTTGAGTTTTAAATTTTTTTTCCCTTCCCTCTTCCCCTCCCTCCCCAAGATGGCATTCAGTCTGATATAGGTTATACATATACATAGAAATGCTTTTCTTAAGAGTGAATTTGAGACAATTCATGACTTTCTTCAGGTGCTTAGCACAGCCTCTGGCATGTAGTAAGTGCTTAATAAATGCTTGTGGACTGAGTTCTGTTAACTGAACAGTAATATGCTCCTAACATAAGGTTGTATTTCTTGGAATGTGTTTATTTTATCTGTGTGTGTGAATATTTTAGTATACAAATAAAGGCATTTTATATAATTTAGTACTTTCTCCGTTGTTTTCAGATATTGATGCCAAATCAAGTGTGTAAAGAAAGGCACAATCCTTAAGAGTATCTGGCAGAATTTTTATACTGAGTTAAATCTCTGCAAAGATGGCCAAATATGGAGAGCAAGAGAACAGACCAAATGAGGGACAGAGTGAATTTACTGACATCATTAAGTCCAGATCAGGTAGGTGATGACAACTCGGTTCCTTTCCCTTTTCCTCCTCTTCCAGTTCTCTTTTGCCAAGACAGTCATGGATTATCTTCTTTACAAGGGGAATTTAATTTTGGTGCTTTGTTTTGTTTTGCTCCTGTGAAGAGAATGAAATGATCTTTTAGCATCTGTTTTCAGCAAATTTGTTATGTGATTGAAAGGGAGAAGATATATTATATCTTCAAGTTTTCTATCCTAATTCCCCAGCCAAATTTCATTACCTTTCTCTATTGAACTGAATTGCTTAGTAAAACAGTTGCCTACGTTTGATTGGTTTTCTTTTGTAAAAATGTATTGTGTTATACTCAGATATAAAGGTGTTCAATTTGTAGGATGATGTCTCAATTGGAAAAAATTATATACAAAATTTAGATATTTGAAATGCCACATGCTGTGGTTACTTATCTTAAGTTCCTATCCTTTAGCCCAGGGGTTCTTTTTCCAGATCTGTGTATAGATTTCTGCAGATCAAAGAGTTTAGATGGGAAAAGAGATACACCTTTATTTTCATAATGTTGGTTGCCTATATTCATAATTGCTAAATTATGCTAAATTTCATTTAGAGGTTAAACTGTAATTTATTTTATAAAATAAATTATAAAATTATAAATTATATAACATAAATATAAATAAATTTCATATAAAATAAATTTCAGCTTAACCTCTAAATGAAATTTAGCATAATTTAGCAATTATGAATACAGGCAACCAACATCATCCTGAAAAAGGAGCCCAAAGGCTTCATCGGACTAACAAAAGGTACCAGGGGAAAAAAAGGTCAAGAACCTTGGTTCTAGGTACACAGTTGTCATATTCCATTGCCTTTCTTACCCTAACTTTGAACCTTGTCTGTTTTATATCTTACCTCAGCAGTGTGCAACTGTCAACTAGCTAATCTTATAAATTAATAATGATCAATAATTTAAATGCAAATATTTTGACTGGGACTTTCTGAAGACAGTGTTTTCTTCTTTCTTTTCTAATCCATGTATAATTCTAATGATAGTAATTTCAGTTATTGGAAATCCTTATCAAAAGTTCCTGGTTGGCTTAAAATATTTCTTCCCTACTGCCCTTCCCTCCATCCTTCCCTTGCCCTAGCCCCCCAAGCATACTCTATGACATATATGTTAGTAAGTTTAAAAAACAGATTTGGGGGGAGGCAGTCAGGACTTTTGAAAACTCATATAAGTCATTCAGGGCCTCATTCTGGTCTGTTAGTACTATACTAAATATTGAGAGTTCTTGAAAGGTATAAATATGTATTCCAGTTTCATCTTTTTTTCTAAACAAATACCATATTCCTTACCTTCATGTGACTTCAGAAATTTTATTATGAGTTTGAAAATGAATAACTTGGTCCCAAGTCATATAGGGACCCTTTTTCCCCCTTTCAGACCTGTGGTCACAGGTATAGGGGAACTCCTTTCCTAGAAGTTCCCTTTTCTGATAACTGACATTAAATTATTTAAGCTTTAAATCTTGCAGAGTACTTCATATACATTGAAACTTCATAACATCCTTGTGATGTTAAGTTGTAAAGGTATTAGTATTCTAATTTTATGGAAGAAGAATCAGAGTTAGGAAGGTTTAGTGATTTGTCCAGGGTTATAATATGTTATAATATGTGTTAGAGAACTTGAGGCCAGGTCTTTCTGAGCCAACTTCCTCACCATTTCTTCCCCTATTATTCCACAACGTGCTTTATTTAAATATATTTATTTAAATACACAAATCTCTCCAGGGTTAGTGAAGATGTTTAGTGGGGATATAGCCTTAAATAAATAGTACTTAGTATTTAATGTCAATGTCATTTTACTGAATATAAGAATCTTTTGGAAAGGTAAAGCTTAATACTATAATACTCCTAAAATTAAGTGTGCCATGAATATATTTTAATCCCTTGAAATTCATGGTATGACTTTAAATGTTTGAATACCCCATATAAGTGTAGGGTGTTATCATTGTCTTTATCCTCCCTTAATGAATATCCAAGTGAAGCGTAACACAGTGGAAAATCAGGTCAGAGAAAGTATGTACTCTCTACTTTCTGTGCTTTATGAGACTGGAGAAGCCTGTTCTTAATGGTTTTCTGACTCAGTTTCCATTGAATTAAGAACTTTTGATATTTATAATATGTACTTGGTCATAAAAAAAATCATATAACTTTTATAAGTACTATAAACAACACATTGGCATTGTATAACTTTCAGAGTGATCTTTAATTTATCAATTAAAGGCCTCTAAATAGCTTAGAAACTTTAATATTAAAGTTATGGCTTTAATCTTGTTTCACTAGCACCCACTCCAGAGAATATTGAGTATCTGAGAGATGAATCACACTGCTGAGCAGCTGCCTAGTGCCTGTGGTCTAGTACACGAAGTCAGTTAGGATAAAAATAGGTCTGAATGGAGGCGAGAAAGGCAGGCTCTTCATATTTTCATTTAGAACCTCCTTTTGTCTACTGCTAACTGATTCCTTGTTCTTTGGCTTTCCCGATGGTAAAGTATAAAACAGGGATGTCATATTGCACCCCAAAAGTCTTTCCCTTAAAAGGGACCTAAGGGTAACATTGTTGAAAAATAAGATGTGATTTTAAAGATTGCTCTTGGACATGGCTACAATAGGAAATAATTTTAGATAGCATATGTTATCCTTATTCTAGTCAAGAATGCTTTTATTTTGGGAATCAACTGTGTTCTTTGACTTGAGAGTATCTTAATAAATTTGATTTTCTTTTGGTTTATAAGGAGATTTCTTTTTAATGTAAGTGACATCAGTTTTCATAGAGTGGGAGCTTGCTGTCTCTGGCTGACCCTGAGAGAATATGCCTGTTGTCCTTTGCTCTGAGGAGAAGGGGGAAAGGCCAAAGGGAATGTTTCCTCAGGGTGTGCAGATGGTATTCTCACTCCTTTTCCTTCTCAATAAGTGAGAAGGCCTTTTAGGTCTGTGTCTATATTGGGCAAATATAGGCTTTTACATGTATATTTTGTTTTAAGTTTATGAGATTGATTATTTTGCCCTAGTTTTTTTTTTTTATTAATTTGGTGCTGTGGTTACTGGTGCCATCATTTTAAGGAGAAAGATTAATTTGGTGTTAATTGTTCAGTAAAATGTGACACAAAGGTAGATATTGAATTGATATGAATTGAATTCCTATAATGGAAAGACCTCTCTGCTATAGGGAGGCAGCTGTGGTATGCTGGAAATAGTATTGGGCATGGAATCAGAATACCTGGGTACTAGTTTGAGAGCTGGCAGATAATAGCTGTGTTACTTTGGGCAAGTCACTTAATTTTGTTGAGTTTGTAGAAAGTGAATATAATAATACTTACACTCCCTATCTCATTGGGTTGTTGTCAGAATCAAATGAGATAGTGAATATAAAATGATTTTTAGCCTAAAACTCTATAGAAATGTCTACCAACTTTCTTTTTTGGGGGTTGGGGTAGGGTCGAGTTCAGACCTGTTATTAAATCAGTGTCCAAAACTACTTCCATTGATAAAGTTAGTTAATATGTCTGAAATGTATTGTCTTAGAGAATTACTTGGGGACACCAAGAGGTTCTTTGAGTCACAGAGCCAGGAGTGTGTGTCAGGGGTAGGACTTGAATCCAGGTCTATTTGCAAGACTGATTTTCTCTCTTTCTCTTTTTGGAAGGTACTTGGGGTTAAGCAACTTACCCAGGGTCACATAGCTAGTAAGTGTCTGAGTTTGGATTTGAACTCAGGTACTCTGGACTCCAGAGCTGGTGCTCTATCCACTTTGCCACCTAGTGCTCCTTCCAAGATTGATTCTCTACTGTTCCATGTTTCCTCTCAGCTAATTATTATTGCTATACAATTAAATAAACATATTGTCTTTGTACAAAGTGCTTTATGTGCTAGGCCCCAGGAATACAAAGATGAGAAATGATTCTGTCCTTGCTATTAAGAAGTTTACAGTGTAATGTGAGAGGAAGAAGGAGATAAAGTTATGCACATAAATCAGTATCATGTGAAATAGAATATAATGAAGGAGAGATCCATACAAAGTAATGCAAAAATTTCAGGAGCAAGAGGTCACTTTAAGTGTGCTTGGGGGGCAGGGAATCAGAGAAAACTTCATGCAACTGAACTGAGCTGGGTCTTGAGTCACTTTTTTATGATGCTGAAAATAAAAATGGATTTATGTATTTTTAAAAGCATGCCTACACAGAGATTACTAATTGTTCTAATAATTATATCACAATTTATATTCTTGTTGGTATAAATATGGAATCATAACATTTTAGATGTAGAAGAGACTTAAGAAATAAAGCCTAGTTATTTAACAGACTGAAGAAGCTGAGACTTTAGTTGTTCACGGTCACACAGCTAGTTAGTAGCAAAGATGAGACTAGAACCTGGGTGCAACACTCTTTCCAGTCTGCCATGATAGCTACTTAAATTAGCCTGATTTTTCTTAGTCATTTTGTCTAAAATTTGCATTTGTGTTATCCACATCTGGTTGCTCTGAGGAAAATAATTTTTCACCTTCTGCTAGGCCTGAAATTAGGGGGAAAAAAAACACCTCAAATCCAACCTCAGATACTTTCAGATAACCTACCTCGGTTTCCTTATCTGTAAAATGGGGTATGATAATAATAACACCTACCTCCTAGGTTAGCCATGAGGATAAAATCAGATATTTGTAAAGCTCTTAGCACAGTACCTAGCATATAATAGGTGCTATATCTAGCTATTATTATTAGTATTAATTACCAGTCAAGAAATATTTAGTAAGTGTTTACTATGTGTTAGACACTGTGTTCAGCATTGAGCACACAAAGGCAAAAACAGTTCCTGCCCTCAAGGAGCTCACATTCTCACATGCAAATAACTTCATATGAGATCTATACAGTGAAAATGGAATTAATCTCAGGAAAGGCACTAGCAATGAGAGAAGAGAGGATCTCAAAAGGCCTCTTGCAAAAATTGGGAGATGAGCTTA